CGCGCATTTATGGCAATTAAATTCTGTACTTTTCACAAAGTACATCCTTGATAGCCAGGATTGAAACGGAAATGAGTGGAAAAGGTTCATACTGGAGGGAAAAGCTTCGAGTTCTCCTCCCGGTTAATTGAGCATTTAAGTTTTTATTTATGTTCTGGAGAGTGAAAGCAATATGTATCCATTTCAGTTTACTGGGAAACCGATTAATCTGATTTGCTTCATTTAATTGAACAATTGCCATTAAAGAAGGAAAGAAATTTATAAGAAAAAGTTGAGTAATACTTACAATTTTCCTTACTTTCCAGGGATATAAGTTCTATAAAATTATTTAAATAATCCAGTGATTAGTAACCCACAAAGTTGAGAAAGTATATGCTATCTTAAAGTTTCGCAGCATTAAATCTCCCTTTGGTGGTATCAGTGTAGTCTGTGTAATCTAATTGGCCATCTTGGACAGTCCCAAGGACCCAAGGAATGGCTCCGCCTAACTTTCACGGAATTTACCACTTCCGGTGATTCGAAGGCAATGCACCGGGTGGCGCCTTACCTTGGCTTAGTTAGACTGCAGATGGGTTGGTTCGATGGCGGTGGAAACATTGTTTGCTTATCGGACAAAGCCAACTTTAGCAGCAATAACAAGTCAGAGGTCGGAGGTTATGGCCTGCACGCCAACACCGCGAAAGTGGGCCATAAATCTGTTCGCTGTTGGCCTTCTTTCATTTTTAACTTGGTCACGTCGTGGAGTACGAGAAAGTGCCAGCGATGTGGTTTGACGTGAGGCAATACTCGGAGAAATCATAGACAGTTGGTGACAAACTGCAGTTGGCCCTTTTCCCACAAATCATGCAATTGCAGTTGGGAAATGGGTTGGGTTTCTTCGTATATAAATGTTTATAGTTAATGACTGGTAATAGAAACAACTCTCTACTGAATGAATTACTGTATACTTTATAGATATTCCTCTAAATATATTGTAACATCTTTATGAATATATGCCTAATCGAATGTGGTAACCATGTATAACCCATTAGTCATTCAACCCTTAAGCAAAAGCCACCCCCATTAACACTATGTATCGCCTTACCTTGCCTCCTTCCAGGTTGAACCTCGCTAATTGCCGGTGAAAAGGGTCAGCAATGCACGGTGCGAGCGGGATGTAAAGGATAACCGAAACTCGAGCTGAACACACACACACTGAGAATCACGAGGAAGTGAGGACGAGGGCGCTCCACTTTTTCCGAAGCGCTTTTCCACCGGTGGCAAGGTGAATCTGTTCCAGCACACCATGTCATCGATCTCGGCGCAGGGCGTGGTCGAGAGAGCCTCCGCCGAATTGTCGAAACGAATCAACGGGCTGGGGCTGCGCTCGAAGCACCACCACAGTGGCTCCGGAAGTGGTGCAGCCGGGGACACGGCCACCGCACCGGGAACCACGCCCACACCACCGACATCCAGCGGCAAGACGTCGGTGATGGAGCGGGTAACGAACGCACTCTGCGGCGGAGGCAACTCCAACTCCAACTCCGGATCGGGATCGAATGCCGCCAATAGCAACTCCTCCTCGCCGGCAGCTGCCGCTGCCACTGCTTCGCCTGCCAGCAATGCAAATCCTCCCCAGACGCCCGACAAGCCCTCCAGGGGCAGTAGCCCCAGTCCCGGAGGCATTGCCATTCCCAGTGGCCAGCCGCAGGTGTCCAACTCCACACACCACCTCCTGCAGCAGCAGCAGCAGCAGCAGCAGCAGCAACTGCAACTGCAGCAGTCGCAGCAGCAACATCTTCAGCTGCAGGCCTCCACGCTGATCAACTCGAACCACCACGTGATGGTGGGTCCAGCCCCGCCCACAGGCATGCCCCTGGGAGCACCACCCACGCCCACAGTAAAGTCCATTGCCAAGCAGATGAACATAACCATACCGGGCGGCGGAGTCGGACCGGGTTCGCCCACCTTCAGCACCATGGGCATGGTGGCGGCACAGAAGGCGGCCGCTGGCGGTGGCGGCGGCGGCAGCGGTGGTACCCCTCTGCAGCTGAGGAAGCAGCTGCCCAATCCTCACCTGCATCACCCGTACGGGAACATGGCGGTGAACCAGTCACCGCTGATCATGCAGCACCAGCTCCACCCGCCGCCCATCCACAGCATCGAGCTGCTGATGCTGGACGACCGCTTTCTGAGCCGCTTCTTCCAGTACTTCTCGCCCTACGAGCGCCGCATCCTGGCCCAGGTGTGCATCAAGTGGCGGGACACACTGTACCGCAGTCCGCGCTACTGGAGCGGCCTGCTGCCCACGCTGCAGTGCCGCGAACTCCGCCAGATGCCGGGCTGTGATCGCGGCAAGCTGTACAACTCGCTCATTCGTCGGGGATTTCACGCTTTAGGTTTGGTGGGTGCCTCCGATGAGGATGCCCTGGATGTGGTCCACTCCTTCCCGCTCGCCTCCAAGCACGTCCATTCGCTCAGCCTGCGCTGCTCCTCGATCAGCGACAGAGGACTGGAGACGCTCCTGGACCATTTGCAGGTGAGTTTTACGAGAAGGATTCAAGTTAAGCTAGTAAGAAATCATTAAATCTTAAATTTAACATTGTTCAAACATATAAGAAAATGTTGCTAGTGTGGTATCCACACACAATCTCGAATAATAGACTGTCGTTTGTTTAAAATGCAAGACAACTTGGCCTAGGGGCAGGCAGCAAAGTCCAAAAATCTGGCCCCAAGGTCCCAAGAAGAGCAGCTGCTTTCCACTCGGACGGAGCATCCCTTAACTTCTCCTTTTCTGCCTTGGGGGACCACCTTTGGAGATGGGACTCCGAGATGGGTTTTCTTTATTTTCAGAGAGAGAGGGTGTGTGAGCATTTTTGTTTTGGCCAGCGACAAGTTGACAGTGGTCAGTCCCAGAACCGAAAATAAATTCGCAAACGAATCTGGGCGCTGGTTAGAGGAAACTATTTTCATTTTATTTCGGGACTTGTGCCGCGCGCCAAAGAAATGAAACGTGTCAGAGCCGTAAAGTGTGTCATCGTCGTCAGGCTGAAAAAGTGAAGAGTGGAAATTCAGCGCCTCGCACCCCCTCGGTCGTTTCCACTTTTCATTCGTCTCTGTGCGAGCATAATGAATTGATGCGATCAATTTCAGATGCAAATCACATCAAAGCTCTTTCATAAATTTCATTTAATTTAGCTTATTATTTTGTTTGCGCTAATTTGAGGGAAATTTGTGCGAAACGGAAAAGGCACTCGTGATGCATTCATAATTTCCACGCGCCGCCAGGTGAATCATTTATGAGTTTGGGCTCGAGCTGTGAAGAGGAGAATATAGACATTAAATCTAAAACAAATAAATATATTTCCACTTCAAATCAATACTCAAATCACACACTCTCACTGCTCCACCGCAATAACCCATAATTTAATCCATAGATTTCCTATTCGCTTTGTCTCTATTATTGCCTCTACTCCATCGTCCTCCATCTCAGCGTTTTCTGTATCTCTTGGGCGACTGCCCCAATAATAATCTCCAGCAACCCCAATCGAATTTGGACGAACGAAACACAAGTGGGAAACCTTAATTGATGGCCAACTGTGGTGAGGGCCTTGGGCAAACTAATCCATTCATTTCATGGACCAATCCCGGGCAATCTGGGAACCTAATCCACCAGGGGCCCAGCATGGGGCCAACCGGAAATGGTCCAATCACACACAGATACATACACACACACACACACACACTCGAGCTGAGTCCATAAAGTGGATAATGTTGGTGAACTGACTGTGGCCAAGTCCTTCGTGGACCCGCTTCCTATATGAGTTTGCGGTCCTGTCAGCTCCGTCAGTCACACACTCAATGAGTTGACTGGCGGCCACCACCTCCTCGGCTCCTCTCTGCATGTGTGTGTGTGAGAGTGTTTGGTCATTAGGGTGATTCTTTATGGGAAAACTTTTGGAAAAACTCCATTAAGTTAGCAGAAATATTTACCCATTGAAGCGGAAATCAAACAAAGGGACTTGGAAATGTTTGTCCTTGTTATCGGACAACACTGCGTATGAGTGATGGGAATGAGATTTAATGTTCCAAAATCTCGAACATAGGTAGGAAAAGTCTAGTTTAAGCTTTGTTTTAAAGGTGTTTTATGAAGCTAACTCTAGTATAAGTTATCTTTACTAAAGAGTAAGACCATAGGGCTCCTCTGGTCCACCCTAGTGTGCATATATACGTCACTCAGGATTGCTGATGTCAGAATTAATCCACTGTGAATGCATGTCATGTTTATGAGCCTAGTTCCAGAGAGAGAGTGTGCGTGTGTGCAGGAAGCCTCAACAAATGGTTTGATTGCAAATTGTTGTCGCTGGCAATGTCAACAACAATGACACACTGGGGACAAGTTGGGTTCGCCATGGTTGTTCATTGGGCATTGGGCATTGGGCTTTGGAATTTGACCTTGGGGAGCTGAGACTGGGACTCTGCAGAGCGGCAAAGTGCACGTGGATTGCTACCTTTATCCCTTCCCCGGAAGTAGAGCCCAACATGCACGCGAAATTAATGCTAGTTACCGCAGCTGACTGCAACGGAAATGCGGCGACTTTCCTGCATTCCTCTACATATTTAATGGGGGAAATGTCCTGCAGTCGCCTCGAGCGAATATATGCGATTTCCGCATTGCTGTTTCATGCGCAGCGTTGACTTGGAGCTCGTTGAACCCCAAACCCCCATTGACCCACAAAATTATGCTATGCTGTAAATTATTATACAACTCCAACTTAAATTGGTCTGACTTTAAAGGGGTTTCACTGCATTCAAGATGGATTTTATTAGACATAACTATTTAGAACTCAAAGAACCCTCTAAAAAGTAGCTGTGTGGCTTAATAACAATGTGAAAATCTGTCCAATTTATGGAATGTTATTTTCCACATTTGTTTTCCCCAAACTTAAGCCCAGTAAAAACTACCATACTTTAGCGAAAAAACCTCAAAAACCTCGAGGGGGAAAAACACGGGAAAACTTTTTCCGGCTAAATAGTTACATATCCTTGTGTGCATGTGTGAGTGTGTTCCGTGTGTGCCTCCATTAGCATTTCATTGTGGAACTCCCCGGTTTGCGTGGTTTGACTTTTCCTATCGATTTTCGCTTCTGCTGCCTGACACATGGCACCTAAAAAAGTTTTCCTTGACTTCGGCTACGTGTTGTGAGTGTGTTTGTTTGAGCCAGCCAAAGGGAAAAACTTCCACAATTGTCCATAAAAACAAAATACGATTTGGACAGGAGAACAAAAAAGGAGTATGAGGGGGGAAAATCCAAAACAACAACTAAACATTTACCATTCATAATGAAGTCATGCCGAAGGCTTGTTTTTGCCCTCTGGCTGGTTGACTGCCTGATTGTTGGCCAAGTTAACTGAGAAACAGAATCCAATTACTGGTCATGTAAACGTTCTTACAATCTATTCAACACATTTGTAATTAGACCAATTAATTCGTTAATGAGTATGGACACGGCGTTGTAATTTGGAAATATTTTAGCCATTATTTTTATACCTTTGCAGGGTATTACAATTGTAGTCAGAAGCTTTGAACTCAGTGATGGAGTCATTTCCGATCCTACAATCCTTGTGGAACAAAAAATGAATCCTGGATTTATGTTGAAAGATTTAATTTTGATTTATTACTTGGATATTTTTGCCATTAAGGATTGGGATTAAATTCGTTCCCGTTTTGTGTCCCGACAATAAAAATAATTATGGTGCAAGGCGCGGGAGTGGGTTATTTCCTTTCCTGGTTCTATATATTTCGTGTTTATGTGAGCATCCTTGCGATTTTCATGTTTATAACGTGCTTCCGGCTGCATTTGCTGTTTATCGCTTTTGTTGCTTTGTTTCCGGCGCGGCGGAAAGGGGAAAAGGAAAAACTGGAACGGTCTCCCGGGGACCAAACAACAATGGCAGCCATGTCCACTTCATCTTGGGTCCGCGACACAAAGTCTGCCACTCGAACCACCGGGATGTGATGTGTTTTTTTCCCAGCTTTGACTTCCTCTCGAGTTACAGTTTTGCTCTTGAAAAGGTCAAAGTCTATCGGGTTACATGGTTTTAAAGTACTCCTCGCATGGCAAAACATTATTTTTAGCTAGCAGAAAACTTTAGCAAGTAATAGCCTTGCCCACATTGCAACTTAATTTAATTTCGTGGGACTCCCGCTGCCTTTTGGTTATTTTATCATTGCAGGTGGCAGCAGTTTTACTGGCTGTAATTTGTTTGGCTCTCTGTGGTCCGGATTTTCCATTCAATTTGCTCGCATTCCGACCAAAAGCTTTGGAATGCAATCCTCTGCATTTTGTTTACGAAGTGAATGCCAGTGTTTCCATGAATACAGAGACCCAATTATGTTTTATACAACTTCTGAAGGCATCTAATTGGTTTAATTAAACCCTAATTCAAACGACCAAGCAGTAAATTTACTATGGTTTAAACAATACAAAATTAGACAAACAAATCTCTCCTCGTTGCTCATGTGAAATAATATTTAATTAAGTGAAAATCTAAAATCTCTTTAGCTAGATATTCAATAAAATATTTACCTGGGTTTAATGGCACTCACATATATCTTTAGGTATATATCTTTTATGTAAAAGTATTTGTCTTCCAACTCAAATAGATTTCTGTTTTCCTATTTTTCACTTGGCTGTGATTGGCTTATATTTCTTGCTCAGCTGAATGTCAACATTTGTGAAAGCTGTGAAAATGTCCAAAAGTATATTTTTGAAATCTTCTGGCGGCAGCTCATAAAAACATTTGACGATTTGACGACAGAGCAGTCACACCTTCAAATGAAATGTTTTTTTTTTTAAATACAGAAAATAGGAATCCGTTGAGAATTTTACCACAACTTGTATGTATATAGAATTTACAAAATATTTCTTATATTGTGTAGAAATCAAGTTCATTGTCATGAGAAGCAACAAGATAAGTTATATATACAAACAAAAATTGAACTTAAATTCTTGAACCAAAAATATTCTATACTTGGCATTAATAATTTCTATTGGAAATATGAATTCAAACAGAGTAAATATTTATGAGTTTTTAAAAATCAAATTCAATGCATAACCTATGACAACATCTATAAATGGTTTATGGCAAATGAAAATTCTTCATTTTTCTTTTCTGTATGAAATTTATATGGAATTATATATATTTTATATTTATATTTAAAATATTCGCCTTGCATATCTAAGCCATTATAAGAAATATTTAATACACATACAATATTATAGCAACCTTTTCACGAATCATATTTTTCTAAGTAAATAAAATGAGAAATAAACATTCAGCTCTCTGGAGCACCATAAATTCACTTTTCCAGCAATTCTTTTTACATTTTCCTCTTCATTTTCCAGAGTTTGTTTGAACTGGAGCTGGCTGGCTGCAATGAGGTGACCGAGGCGGGTCTGTGGGCGTGTCTTACGCCCCGCATCGTGTCCCTCTCCCTGGCGGACTGCATCAATATTGCGGATGAGGCGGTGGGCGCGGTGGCCCAGCTGCTGCCCTCCCTCTACGAGTTCTCGCTGCAGGCAAGTCCGGATGCGGTGGAATCCGCCTCCTTCCCGCCTCCTCCTCGAGTTTCTGGCAACTAATTGAATCTCCCAATTTCCCGATCCCAACAGGCTTACCATGTCACGGATGCGGCGCTAGGCTACTTCTCGCCGAAGCAGAGCCACAGCCTCAGCATATTGCGACTGCAGTCGTGCTGGGAACTAACCAACCATGGCATCGTTAATATCGGTAAGCGAACTTCCGTCCTCTCAGCCAGAAATTAATCAAGTAACATGGAAATAGCGTGTAAGCCATGGGGGGAGTGTGGGAGCTGGAACCCATTTGTCACACAAAGTGCACTGTAGGAAAAATCGTAGGGGATTTTTTATGAGAGGTATTTGGTATAAGGAAACAATTAAACATATGTGACTTTAGAGTCCTATTTTTGGCTATATTTGTTCTATTAGTTATACTACTTTAAATAGGAATTGAATGTAACTACTTCATACAATTATTCCCAGTGATTAAAAAATAATATGGTTTTCGTTCCATTGGGGCAATCACAATTGTTGAGCGAGGCTAAAAGCCATTTGCCATTGGCTTTAATGTTTAATTCCGAAATGTGGATGAATCGTCACTGGGCGAGTGTGATGATGTGGCCCCCATCCGGGCTGATAGTGGTCCGAAATAGCTGTGAGGGACATCCGCCGGGAGTGTGCCGCCTGGAGACCGAGCTGTAAGAAATACATAAGGCGAACATAACATTGTAAATGGAGTACCAGTAGCTGTGCCAGTGGGAGTTACCATTCCTCGGGGTGCTGTCCTGGTCCCCGAAAAACGGATGTCCTTCTGGGCAGGGCCCTCGTCACCGATTCTAAACACTGCACTCAACTAATTGAAACTTTTTGTGGGACACTTTTTATGCAATGCTGTGTTTTTGTTCCCCCATTTCCTGTCCAACAGAGCAGCTATTTTTACATCCTTTGACGTCAACCCTTTTTCTGTTGCCAATTGGCAGGGTCCAGTTCTAAAGAACTCTGTTTTCCGGCATGGCTCTTTCTATGGAAAATGTCAAACAAACTAAAGAATTTGCAAGTAAATTAAACTAATTTTATGCTGAAATCATGTCACAAGACAGTATTAAATAAAAATATAAGCCAAGGCTATCGTTGTATATTTAAACACAGAAAACCTTAGAAACAGAGAGGGTTTATAGCCAAAGCTTTGATTATATTTACTCCTTATATGAACCAACTTCACCTCGTTTTATTATCAGGCAACATATCCTTTGACTTCCGTTTAAACTTGGCCATAAAACCACTTTAATTGACGTGAACATTGCCCCGCTGCTGAGCAATTTTAAAGCATGCTTAGGGGGCTTTTTCAGGTGCCTGAACGCAAACTCATTTAAAATGCGATCGACAACGCTGGCAAACGTAAACCTGCCACTCCAGAGGGTTGAGAGTCCTCTGCCTGTTTTCGCTTTGCCTATGCACCTTACTTTGACCTTTGAGTCCTGGGTTCCTAGTCCCGTGTCCCGAGTCCCGAGTCCCGAAGTCCTGGCACCTGGCTCTTCAGTCTGTTCCGGAGACTGAGTTTGGGTGCAAACTTTGCAATCAATTTCATGGCACGTCATTTTCTTTGCCCAACCCCCAAACCGACTTTCCTCCTGGCTGCAATCAACAAAGGCTAAGGGCTGCTCAGCGCCGCAAATTAAGCTGCAGGTTTGCTGCAGGCGCCCAGGTAGATGGCTTCCCCCAGGTGGAATGGAAATGCTTCCTTCCCGCCTGCCAACTCCTACGGCTTCAGCAGTTAACCAGCCAGATTTCTCGCTGAGGAGCTGCGCATCGAAATCGAATTATTGCAGTTCAGTGATCATCATCGATGCGGTTGCAGTCGCAGGCGGGAGGGCATATAGAGGTAGCGATTTGCATACATACACAGGAAGAGAAATTATGAATTTTTAATAAATTCAACACCAGAAGTAAGAAAGGAAAATACCAAGACCTTTTAAAAACATTCCATAATTTAGCTTAAAGTAAAAATTGAACATTTTTACCCAATGACCTCAGTGTAATCTCATTACAAAAACCGTTCCATCACAGACATCCTCGCACAGAAGCTGCAAAGAGTAAACAAACTATGAATTTTACAGCTTAGGGGGGAAAAAAGAGGAATTTATGAAATATTAAAGCTTGCACAAACAGACGCTTTCCAGCACATATTTTGGTGCGTTTTGTAAACAGCTTGATGGATGAAGGAGCATCAAAAGCCCAAAATGCCAGTTACAAAAGTATGAAAAGCATATTACACATACGCCCCGTATCACAAAGATTGCCTTCTGTGTGTGTGTGTGTGTGTCTGTGGGTATTTGCTTTGGGCGGTGTTTACGTGAGGACATCAGCAAATAGGCGCCATATTTAATGGTGGCATTTTGTATAAATTGCCGCCCAATCATAAACTGTTTGCCTAGCAAGCATAAACAAGTCAACAAATAAGAAAGGAAGCCAATTTCAGAAAGCCGAAGTTTATATACCCTTGCAGTTTGCAATCAAATTGTAAAATATTGAAGTGTGGAGAATCTAAAATTGATCATAACTGCTTCAAATATTCCCATTTCTTAAAGATATCACTAAGTTGTAAAACCTTTGCAAGAGTATAAAAAAAGATAGGAAAAATGCAAATAAAAATCAGGGAAAAACGGAGATTAATGGAAACTTTCACATTATTTATTTTTACAATTTATTCCAAGTGACCGCACTTACCGGAAATATGTGTTTAATTAATGGCAATCGAGCTTCCATAACACTCAAGCCTCAAGGGATCTGTGAAACATTTATTAATTTCCGCCATAAGCCAAACACATAATTAATGCAATTTAAAGTAATTTATTTTCTGCAAAAGAATTAAAAATAAAGGCAAACTATTAAAAGGGCTTTAATGAAATCACTTTCCTCTCTGCAACAACTTTTAATACTTCATATTTAAATCAAGTTCAAGTGACTTACAGACGCCATATGGTCACTTAAAGTTTATTTTAGCCTCAGAACTTATTGCAGCTTTTAAAGAGCGTCCTTGTCCAGACCATGGCAGCTTGCAGTCTAAACCCTTGTCAGAAGTTGGCTAAGCCCGCTCGCAGTTTACAGTTTACAGTTCACAGTTGGCCATCCGTCGTTGCCTGATGTTGAACTTTTGCCCCCGCCGGTGTGGCACAAAACTTTTAATAACAATTCCCAGTACGTTTCCCACGACCCGCCGGCCATGAAAGAGCGCTTCACGGTGGCAGTGGCATTGGGTGCTTATCACAACATCGAGAAGCCATTTAGCTAATTGCATTTGGCATCTAATTGAATTGGGCCAGGCTCCCAGGATCCAGCGATGGGCTGTGCAGACAGGACGCAGGACTCGGGAGACTCAGCTGTCGCTTAGCTGGCCAAGTGCCAGGGGCATTTTTTATGGCTCACTGGGAGAAACTTTACCTAAACCTTCCATTAACAATCCTTATATTCCTTTTTTTATACTACAAATATTTCTTAAGTAATGCTTCAAATAAGGCATAAGTAAACCCTATTTAATCCTAATCAAAAACCAAATAGATTTAACTTATTAGAAGTTAGCTAATATTTCTCCCTGTGCTTGATTTTTGGCTGCGGTTGCTAAAGTTGCTACTTCACCATTTGATTGCGAGGTGACACATCATTTGGCACGCAATCCGGCTCGCTGGCGGAACCGGAAGAGCGGCTAGCTGCCGGACTGAGTGACTGACTGACTGACTGACACATTCACAGGACGCCCTTGCTGGCCGCGGGGCTAATTGCCAGCGAGGTCGTTCAACCGGGCGTATGCGTGATTTATGAGCTCGCACGTGAATGCGAGAATGCGAATTGCGAATTGCGAGTGGCGAAACGTAAGCGAAACAATGAACAAGTTAATCTCCCATTAATTAACAGTGTCAACAGAATTGCCGCCTTTCATTTAGCAGCGACCGAGCAAAGAAATAACGTATTGCGACAACTACAAACATGGTCGAGGCGACAAATCAAATTTTTCCTACCTTTCCCACAAAGCTTTTCACTCGATGTGAGGCATTCACAGCTGCAGAAGCAGGGACAGGGGCGTAGTCAGGATTAAATGGTAAAAAAAAGGGGAAGAAATCATAGCTTATATAGAGAAAAATGGAATTTAATCCCAACTTTAACAAGGTTTATCCTTGAATCAACAAAAAACTCTGTCTGAGCAAATTGTGGCTTTGATATAACATTACATTTATAATGACATATACCCTTGTGATCCCCACCAGCTGGTTGGGGTTACGCCCCTTGGATAATAAGCTTCATCTATACTTGATTGCCATTGCCAGGGGGGGCAGGGGGTGAGACCAGGGGCCAAACTGGGTGAGCCCGAGGGGTGCACTGCTAATGAAGTGGTTGCGGTTCGTTTCGCGCCTGAACAATTGCACTTGTCGACGCGAACGCGACATGTCCATCAATTTAACCGCAAAGTGCATGCAGTCCGTCCACATCCCACATACCCTCTTACCATCACCCCCAAAAAGCTGGCGAGGATTGCCAGCCAATGATTTTGTTTATACCAAGGATACAGTGGGAATTCGTTGGGTAGAATCAGTTGAATTAATTATGAATTAAATTTTAAAAATGCCTATGAAAATGAGGAGAATTCTTTGCTTATAAGTCAGTAGAATTTAAATACAGAATTCTTAATTTAATTTATATATATTTATTATTAATAATTCATATGTAAGATATGCCACACTGTATAAGTTTTGGTCAAGAATAAAATTGGTTCTTTACAACATCCTTTAATAAATGACTCAGTAATGTCTTAAAATATATTACAAATATTTTATTCATATAAAATATATGTTTTTACTGGCATAAAGAATATATTTAAAATATTATTCCAACACCATTAATATTATATATTTTAATAAAATCAAAATATATACCTCATGTATATGGATCAATAAAACCCCTTAACTCATTTTCCAATTTCCCTTTTAAACCAAGGACCACTCCACTACGGATTAAGTTGAACTTGTCAGTGGATAAGGTTGTATGTGGGTATTCCCCTATTTATCTTGGCCGTCTTTCTCCTCCGACTCTCTCTCTCTCGCTCTCTTGGCCATGGTCTTGGCCTGGCAAAGACCGAATTCCTGCTCGCCGAGACATCGAATTTATCTTCCTCAGCCGGCGGCAACGCCCGCTGTCCGCCCTCTCAGACCCAAAATTGATAAGTTCCCCGGTTTGCAGCTGCCATGTAGCCATAGGAATTCCTCTAGCCTCTAGCCCTCTCCTCCTCGACATTGTCCCAATCCTAATCCTGGTCGCGGTTGATCCCATGCTGCCGTTGCTGCTGATGGGCGCCCGTCGGGTGTCGTGTTTATTTAATTACATTTGCATTTTCAAGGTGCTCACATCGCAGCTCCTGTGCCATTGTGTTCTCTATTTCATTCTCTGTCTCTCTCTTTTGCTGAGCAATTTTTAATTAACTTTATTTTTGTAAAAGCTGTTCGAGGGGGAGACGATGGCACGCACTGCCCCTCCTGCTCCTCGCGGTGAGCATTTGGCCAAGTTGTCAATCAATTGTCAGCTGGCAGTGACCATGAACTTGGCTTAATTCGCAAAAAGCACAAAGTTGTGCGATTTGAAGGGTATCCGAGGTGCAGTGCAGATGCAGCGACATGGAAAGTGCACTCGCGGCGATTTTCATTAATTAAATGCAGCTTGTTAGGGTTTACTGAAAGTGTAAAACTGAGAGAGACTGAAGTATAAAGTGTTTCGAAAGCTGGAAAAACTTTAAACTGGCCATTAAAAGTGGCTTCTCCCTCAGGTTGAAACTTTTAGGGAATGTTTCTGACGAGGGAAAAATTTAATTAGCATAAATAAACTTTGTTGAAATAATATAGAATGTTATGGCAAGGAAATCAAGTTGTTGATGTCTTGAAATATACATTTTTAATGGAGTTTAGGATTTAATTAAAGCTTGCCAAAACTTGCTTAAGAATTTGGGAGAAGAAAGTTTGAAAATAATAATAGGTA